TAGGGAAAGTAACTGAAGTTCTGGTTTGCTTAGCTTGCTTTGAAATAAAATTTTTTAAAGTTTAGGCATTCTTGCATTTAGTCCAAATAGAGGTATTGTGTTCATTTACAAACCCTTACACGTTCTGTATGTGATAATTTTTTCTGGAAATACTGCTTGACGAAAACCTTTCTACTTATCACAATAGGACACTAAACTCTAGTATTTCTGACAGCCTGATTTACAGACCTGCTTCTGAATGTTTCTGACTTTGTGTAGCATTACTTTTGGTAGGCATGATTCTAAAAAGGATTAAAATGTTTTTTTCTTGTTTTATAATCAAAACTAACAATACGGTATCAGTTTGAAATATACCAGATGACAGCTTTAAAAAAAACTTCTTCCTAAATACTTAAATTAAGATTTGCAGAAGGATCATACTTTATATAATCAAACTTCATTAGCTGACAAGTATCCTAATCCTGTTTTGTTACTTAAGCAAAACTGCTGTTAATTGCAAAGGTGTTTCATGTCTTCTGCTTAAAACAATCAAATTAGGGACTCTGAATTTTAGTTATGATTAGAGGTGTGCAAATACCTCTTCTCTTTTTGTTTTGTTTTGTTGTTTGTTTCTTGTTGTTGCTGGCAGATAGGAGAAATAAATAAATCCTCTGAGGTATGTATTCAGGTTATCTTGCAATTAACTTTTAAACATTTGGTGAAAAACAGAAACTGAAAAAATAGCTTATTCATCCAAGCAAATGTCTATGTTTTATTTTTATATAATTATAATTTTCTTTTTAATTGAAGATGTTTTCCAACACTGACTTGGACTGAAAACAAAATTCCTTTTAATTTTCCTAAATGAATCATCCAGATATCTCAACATTTTTATTTTAACTTCCTCATTAAGACTTGAGCTAAGCTACAAATAGTTTGTAAAATGTTTCCATTCCAGAATATGCAACTTTATAGTCAATAATTTCTTCAATAGGAAGTGTATTCAGCTCAGGTTATGTAGGTTTGTGGATATGTCCTTTGATAAATATTGAAAATTTTTTACTTTAAAATTCTGACTGATTTTAGTGAGTTTGTATTGGTGTCCTCTTGGAACAAGCTTATCTGCCTATGACCCACGGTTTTAAAGAGCCCCTAGCTTTACAAATTAAAAAAATAAGTTGGCTGTAGGAGAGTGTGTCTAATGAACTACACCAGAAAAGTACAGAGATACTCTGCATATTTTTATATTGTTCCCTAATTGGCTAAATCCAGTAATCTTAGAATATGACAAATTAATGTGGAATATCTGTAGAATAGAA